GGAATCCAGAAGCGGATGAATACTACACATGTGGCGACCATGCCAGAAAATGTCGTTGCGTAGAAATCAGCCTCACTGCTCTGAGTGAGCCCTCTGTGTTTACACCGGGTAGTGACTTCGACCCTTGGGAAGCTGGAATGCATATCAACCTCTTGACCAAGTCGCCAAAGTCGGTGAATTGGCATGCGCAACCCGTGGCCCAGTGATCAGAGCCTAGTGTGTGAAATAACGGTGCTGAGCGGTTCGCTTCTTCTTCTTGCGCCATAAACAAGGCGTCGAACACGCTCATTGCTCACACGGTGTACCCACCAGATATGCGCCAAATTGCACTGCTGGTCGAATGTAACAAGCTTCCTTATGTCTGCTAATCTAATGGGCCAGGTTTCACAATCGTGCAGTGTGGTCGAACGTACGGCTGCGTTGTACACTCTACCCTTCAGGGAGAAAGTGACGTCGCGCCGGCGCCATAGGTGGCGAAGGTCAGCAAAAGGGCCTCGTGCTTTTGCTGTGCGGTTTGTGACCTGATCTTCAATTCCAACGGCGCTGATACAACTACCTAGGTAGTAGAATTTTGAACGACTTCGATCTGATCCCCATCAAGGGACAGCGCAGGAAGCGATCCCTGTCAAACTTGGAGTACATCCTCGCATTTTGAGGGTGCAAAGCATAACGCGAAACGGGTGATAGCCAGTGCTAATCTGTCCAGTACCGTTTGGCAAATTTAGGGGTAATATCGCCAGCATACTCAAATTAAAGAAGTTGTTCGCCCAAGAGCAGCTCCATACCCACGTCGTGTTTCGTTAACGCGATCTCCAAGACTTCGTCAATAGCAAAGTTGAACAGTTAAGATGACAGCGGGCATCCTTGACTTACAATGCTGGAGATATTGAAGGGCGGCGACATCTTGCTGTAAGCCCCCACTCTGCCGAGCAACGCGCGTAAAGCGCTCGCATAATATTGGGCACGCCTTTCCTTGACAGAGGGTCCCAAAGTGTACCTCGATCCACCAAATAAGGCACCTTTGATATTGAGAAACATGACAACGGTGGATCGCCAATATATGTGATGGTGCTCCAACAAATGACGTAATGTGAATACATGGTCGGTGCATCACCGATCACGACGAAACACACTTGCTCCTAACAAATCCATGATCCGTGATCGACAGTCGGTATAGCAAGCATGAGAGAGGCAAATAATTTGGAAGCAATGTGGAACAGAGTGATTCCTCTACGGTTGCAGAATTGCGAACGCAAGCCTCCTTTGAAGATCGGGATAATAACGGAATGGCTGCAGTCGGTTGGAAATGTTTCCTGTTCCCACAGTTTCACTAGTAATTCGTGTAAATCATCAACAAGAGCAAGGCCCCCGAATTTGAAGAGGGCTGGATGAAGCTCATCTAGTCCCGCGGCTTTATTTAACTTCAACAGTCCGATATCACGTTTGACTTCTGAGCGAAAGGGAGGATTCAAATGGCCAGCCGAAGGAGCAGGGCGATTACTGGCCGATGAGGAATCTAACAATTCCGACCGATTAAATTGCTTTTCGAAATGCCCAGCCCAACACTTCAAACGTTTCGACAAGTTGTGGACAGGCTCTCCACCCTCGTCACGTATAGTTTCACTAACACTAGGTCTCCTGATGCCCGTTTCCCGTATCAGACGGAACAACTTCCGATGGTTACTAAAGGCAGCGGCCATTTCCATCTATGACGCACGACAAGACCACCAGGATTCGCGGTCTCTCTTCAGGCTAGCACGCAGTTTTGCCCTCAGGTGTTTGCGAGTCTTGTGTCCACTTCCAGCTAGAATGTGCCGGCGAGCGTCGATAGGTTCTATAGACTGCGAAGGGAGCCAATATCTATTTTTGCCAGTGGATGTACCTGCTTTTAGTAGTCTGGTGAACATACGACCAGTGACTTTCAACTGTATTCAGTGAGCGCTTGCTCAACCTGAATGCTAGGACATTTCGATACGCATTCAGAACACCTGGCTTCGCCAGTTGGCTGGTGTTTATGTGCTCACAGGGTCGTCGAGGGCGACCGCCAAAACGCACCCGCAGATCAGCACATACAAGTGCATGGTCAGTGTCCACACACGTACTCCAAATCGAGCGACAGTTTTAGACACAGCCTCTCCAGCGATAACTGATCGCGATGTGATCGATTTGCGTCCATGGCTGGTTCGAGGCTGATGGGCGCCATGTCACCTTCTGACAGGTGCTGTGTCGGAAGTTAGTGCTCGCGAGAAATAAGCGAACATCTTCACACAACAGTTGTAACTGCTCACCGTTCTCATTATGGGAGCCTACACCATGTTGACCGCCCAGATGCAGTTCATTAGTGGATAATTTCCCAACTTGAGCGTTCAGATCCCCAACAAGCACTACAGTGTCCGCGCTTCTTCTGTGGCGAAGGAGCTCAGTCATTGGATGATAGAAGTCGTCTTTTACCGAGTCATCGCTAGAGTTTGTGGGTGCATAGGCAGCGATAACGAATAGACACCTATAAGCCCTGCGCGACTTTGTAGGTTTGAACGAGCCAGCCAATCGGACCGCACGCAGCCGGCTACTGATCGGAATCCAATCAACCAGAGTAGCTTCAGCCCGAGGACTCAGGGCAATACCAACACCAGCGAAGCGGCACTCAAAGCTGCATCGTCTCCGGATAGGTACAATGAGAAAGCACTGCTAGTGTCACCTAAAGGGAATTGCAGAGTGAGAACAGAGCTCCGGTCTTGTAGGCCGGTCTCCGATAGGCAGCAATATCGATCGAGAGAGTCTCTAATGTTCGGGCAGTTGCTGCCTGTTGACCGATCTGTAACAATGTGCATACGTTGAGGCATGCCAATCAGAGGGAGGATAGAGGGCTCCAAATGGAAGTCGATGAGTTGGGCTTGACTGCATGGTTGGAGGTAGGCTTGTCGATAGGGCAAGAGTGATGCTCCGTGTTTGCATATGAGTTGAAACTAGAAGATAAACGCCTATCAAAACATAGTGGGGGGCCAAGAATTGGGGTTGAAAAGGGGGGATAAAAGTGAGGTTGGAATGGGACGATAAGGGTTAGAAAGCGTAAGAGGAGGAATAAGAAGACGGGAAGGCTTGAGCAGTAGCATCCAAACCGCTATCCACCTGCTCGATGCAGCAGATAGGATACCGTAAATTATGCTCTGCGGTGGCCAGAGCATTAGGAGATTGTTTGAGGTTGAAAGGTTCGTAGTATTGCATGGACAGGATACTGTCAGGTTTCCCAGTACTGGACAGAACGATTAGGGTTCTCAACCAGAACCTTTGGTTCATAAATCTAACCGCAGGGTAGCGTGTTTGGTAGTGGACTACAAGGAGTCCGTTTTAAGGAATAAGGGTCTACCCTCTGTCCAACCTCTAACCTGGAGAGCCAAGGAACTGAATTTGTCTGGCCTCCATTGACCAGTCTAGTATGAGTGATTTGGAATGTGCAACAAAAGAGAGGAAAAGGAATAATCAAACTAAAGGATGCGAAGGTCCATGTGTTGTTTTCGCAGCGACCTTCCCGGTTGAGCAGTCCGAGAAAAAGGGTTGACTTAAGGGACTCCATCCCAAGCCGTTGGTTTTAAAAACCTGATCCGCAATGTAGTAAAGCGAATACTGTGACCGTTGACAGCCTTCTTTGCGTTTTGTTGAAGTCCACAGCGAAGCCGGTAGCTAGCCCTCCGTTAAATACTTACTTCCGTTTACAGAACTGTGTGGTCAGTGACCCTATAGCCGGTCACATTGGCTTTGACACAGCGTTATACGAGCTACTGTTGTATTTGATGAAGAACCAGGTGACAAGCCCGAAAATCCCAACGTTCTGAGACGTTGCCACTGATTTTCCGCGACTGGTAACTCCATACTATAAATTTTTCCTCAAACAATCTCCTGATGCTCTGGCCACCGCAGAGCATAATTCACGGTGCTATCTGCTGCATCGCGCAGGTGGATAGCGGTTTGGATGTACTGCTCAAGCTTTCCCGTCTTCTTATTCCTCCTCTTACGCTTTCTAACCATTATCGTCCCATTCCAACCTCACTTTTATCCCCCCTTTTCAACTCCAATTCTTGGCCCCCCACTATGTTTTGATAGGCGTTTATCTTCTAGTTTCAACTCATATGCAAACACGGAGCATCACTCTTGCCCTATCGACAAGCCTACCTCCAACCATGCAGTCAAGCCCAACTCATCGACTTCCATTTGGAGCCCTCTATCCTCCCTCTGATTGGCATGCCTCAACGTATGCACATTGTTACAGATCGGTCAACAGGCAGCAACTGCCCGAACATTAGAGACTCTCTCGATCGATATTGCTGCCTATCGGAGACCGGCCTACAAGACCGGAGCTCTGTTCTCACTCTGCAATTCCCTTTAGGTGACACTAGCAGTGCTTTCTCATTGTACCTATCCGGAGACGATGCAGCTTTGAGTGCCGCTTCGCTGGTGTTGGTATTGCCCTGAGTCCTCGGGCTGAAGCTACTCTGGTTGATTGGATTCCGATCAGTAGCCGGCTGCGTGCGGTCCGATTGGCTGGCTCGTTCAAACCTACAAAGTCGCGCAGGGCTTATAGGTGTCTATTCGTTATCGCTGCCTATGCACCCACAAACTCTAGCGATGATTCGGTAAAAGACGACTTCTATCATCCAATGACTTAGCTCCTTCGCCACAGAAGAAGCGCGGACACTGTAGTGCTTGTTGGGGATCTGAACGCTCAAGTTGGGAAATTATCCACTAATGAACTGCATCTGGGCGGTCAACATGGTGTAGGCTCCCATAATGAGAACGGTGAGCAGTTACAACTGTTGTGTGAAGATGTTCGCTTATTTCTCGCGAGCACTAACTTCCGACACAGCACCTGTCAGAAGGTGACATGGCGCCCATCAGCCTCGAACCAGCCATGGACGCAAATCGATCACATCGCGATCAGTTATCGCTGGAGAGGCTGTGTCTAAAACTGTCGCTCGATTTGGAGTACGTGTGTGGACACTGACCATGCACTTGTATATGCTGATCTGCGGGTGCGTTTTGGCGGTCGCCCTCGACGACCCTGTGAGCACATAAACACTAGCCAACTGGCGAAGCCAGGTGTTCTGAATGCGTATCGAAATGTCCTAGCATTCAGGTTGAGCAAGCGCTCACTGAATACAGTTGAAAGTCACTGGTCGTATGTTCACCAGACTACTAAAAGCAGGTACATCCACTGGCAAAAATAGATATTGGCTCCCTTCGCAGTCTATAGAACCTATCGACGCTCGCCGGCACATTCTAGCTGGAAGTGGACACAAGACTCGCAAACACCTGAGGGCAAAACTGCGTGCTAGCCTGAAGAGAGACCGCGAATCCTGGTGGTCTTGTCGTGCGTCATAGATGGAAATGGCCGCTGCCTTTAGTAACCATCGGAAGTTGTTCCGTCTGATACGGGAAACGGGCATCAGGAGACCTAGTGTTAGTGAAACTATACGTGACGAGGGTGGAGAGCCTGTCCACAACTTGTCGAAACGTTTGAAGTGTTGGGCTGGGCATTTCGAAAAGCAATTTAATCGGTCGGAATTGTTAGATTCCTCATCGGCCAGTAATCGCCCTGCTCCTTCGGCTGGCCATTTGAATCCTCCCTTTCGCTCAGAAGTCAAACGTGATATCGGACTGTTGAAGTTAAATAAAGCCGCGGGACTAGATGAGCTTCATCCAGCCCTCTTCAAATTCGGGGGCCTTGCTCTTGTTGATGATTTACACGAATTACTAGTGAAACTGTGGGAACAGGAAACATTTCCAACCGACTGCAGCCATTCCGTTATTATCCCGATCTTCAAAGGAGGCTCTCGTTCGCAGTGCAGCAACTATAAAGGAACGATCATCGCGACGATACTGGGCCTTCATCATCATAATACACGTTAGCTAGAGGTGGGAAACACCTCAGCTACTGTGCCGCAATACAAAGAAAAAAAATGAGAGAGAAAAACAAAACAACTGGTGAAAGCTGGCTGAGCTACCGGTAACGGGTGGGCATCGTTCCGGTAAGCTACCAGCCGGCTGCTGTGCACCCAAAAAAATTATTATGCAAAATTATATAAGGCTAAGTAATGAGATCGTGGTTGGAGGGGGAGGCTAAGAGGGATGGGGTGGGACAAAGAAACTCACAGCACGAACGCCACTGAGGTCGGCTCCTAGCCATATCAGCAAGTGTGTCCAACCAAACGTGTTCATCGTCTTTCGGACCCCAACCAGGGAGCCGTGACGCACCAACCGAGGCTAGTTCAGAAGTGAGGGTCCTCATTCCTCTGGACCAAGTCATCGCTTGGCCACCCCTCCTCTTCTTCCATCCACACCACCGGCGCGCAAACAACACACGTCGCGGAAGTCGGTGGGCTGGCATGCGTAACACGTGGCCGAGCCATCGGAGCCTGATGCGTGAAATAACGGTGCTGAGCGGTTCATTTCTTTTTCCTGTGCCATAAACAAGGCATCGAACACGCTCGTTGCTCACGCGGTGTTCCCACCAAATGTGAGCTAAATTACGAAGGCACCGGTGGTCGAACGTAACTAGCCTCTTCAGGTCCGCTGCTTTAAGCGGCCAGGTTTCACAACCGTACAATAGGGTCGAACGTACTGCTGCATTGTACACTCTACCCTTCAGCGTGAGAGTGATGTCGCGCCGGCGCCATAAGTGGCGAAGGTTAGCAAAAGCGCCCCGAGCTTTTGCTATACGATTCTTGATTTCATCTTCAATCCCACAGGCGCTGATACAACTTCCCAGGTAGTTGAATTTTTGAACGACTTCTAGCTGATCCCCACCAAGGGTCAGCGTAGGAGGCGGTTCAGACCAATCTTGGAGAAACGCTTTGCACTTCGAGGGTGCGAAGCAAAGCCCGTAGTGACGGACAGCTAGTGCTAATCTGTCCAGTGCCGCTTGGCACGTTTGTGAGCTGTCACAGATGAGGGCAATATCATCAGCATACTCTAAATCAAGAAGTCGTTCTCCTGGGAGTAGCTCCACACCTTCCAAGTCGTGTCCTGTAAATGAAATCCCCATGACTTCGTCAACAGCGAAGTTGAAGAGGAAAGGTGACAGCGGGCATCCTTGTCTCACGCCGCTGGAGATATTAAAGGGCGACGACAACTTGCCGTAAGCCCTCACTCTACCCGAGCTACGAGCGTATAATGCTCGGATAATATTCACATATTTCTCAGGTACACCTTTCCTGAGTAGACAGTCCCAAAGTGCATGTCTATCCACCGAATCGAATGCACCTTTGATATCGAGGAACACGACAATGGTGGGCCGCCAATATGTGTGACGGTGCTCCAACAACTGACGCAAGGTGAAGGTGTGGTCAATGCAGCTACGACCTCGACGAAATCCAGCTTGCTGTTCACGAATCTGGCTTTCACGAGTGCCAGTCAGTCTGTGAAGAATGACAGAGGCAAGCAATTTGGAGGCGATGGAGACCAGACTGATTCCTCTATGGCTGCCGCATTCCGATCGTGAGCCTCCTTTGAAAATTGGGACTATGACGGAGCGGCTCCAATCGGTTGGGACAGTTTCCTGCTCCCACAGTCTCACTAGTAACTCGTGTAAATCATCCACAAGAGCAGGTCCCCCGAATTTGAAGAGGGCTGGAGGAAGGTCATCAGGTCCCGCGGCTTTATTTAACTTCAACAGTTTGATCTCATGTTCGACTTCTGAGCGAGAGGGTGGATCCAAAGGAACAGCCCACGGAGCAGGGCGATCACTGGTCGGCGAGAAATCTAACAATTCCGACCGATTAAATTGCCTTTCAAAGTGCTCAGCCCAACGTTCCAGGCGTTTTGATAAATTGTGGATGGGCTGTCCACTCTCGTCACGTATAGTTTCACTAAGACCAGGTCTCCTGCTGCCCGTTTCCCGTATAAGACGGAATAACTCACGATGGTTACCAAGGGCAGCGGCCATTTCCATCTCTGTTGCACGAGACCACCAGGATTCGCGGTCTCTCTTCAGGCTAGCACGGAGTTTTGCCCGGAGCTCTTTGCGAGTTTCATTGTGTTCGCTTCCAGCCGGAATATGCCGGCGAGCATCTATAAGTTCCAAAGACTGTGAAGAGACCCAATGTTCATGTTGGCGATTAGACATACCACATGAGGATTTGTCTGCTGCTAGTAAGGCTTGTTGCATATGAGACCAGTGAGCTTCAATTGCATCCAGTGAGCGTTTATCCAACTCGGATAACAGCGTAATTTGATAGGCGTTCAGAACAGCTGGATTCACCAGTCTGCCGGTGTCAATGCGCTCACAACATCGTCGCGGGCGTCCGCCAAAGCGCATCCGCAGGTCAGCACATACAAGTGCATGATCGGTGTCAACACCTGTGTTCCAAATCGAGCGACAGTTCTGGACGCAGCCTCACCAGCGGTAACTGATAGCAATGTGATCGATTTGCGTCCATAGCTGGTTCGAGGCTGGTGGGCGCCAAGTCACCCTCCGGCGGGTGCTGTGTCGGAAATTAGTGCTCGCAAGAAATAAGCGAGCATCCTCACACAAATGAAGTAACCGCTCACCGTTATCATTACGGGAGCCTATACCATGTTGGCCGCCCAGATGCAGCTCATCTGCGGATAATTTTCCAACTTGAGCGTTCAGATCCCCAGCGAGCACTACAGTGTCCGAGCTTCTTCTGTGGCGAAGGAGTTCGTTCAGTTGGCGATAGAAGTCGTCTTTTACCGAGTCATCGCTACAGTTTGTCGGTGCATAAGCAGCGATAACGAATAGACACCTGTTAGTGTCACGCGACTTCGAAGTTTCGAACGAGCCAGCCAATCGGACCGCACACATCCGGCTACTGATTGGAATCTAATCAACCAGAGCAGCCTCAGCCCGGGGACTCAGGGCAATACCAACACCGGCTTGGCCGGTGCTCGAAGCTGCATCGTCACCGGATAGGCGCAATGAGAAAGTGCTGCTAGTGTCACCTGAAGGGGATCGCAGAGTGAGTACAGAGCTCGAGTCTTGCAGGCGGGTCTCCGATAAGCAGCAGATATCGATCGAGAGGGTCTCCAATGTTCGGGCAAGTGCTGCCTGTTGACCGATCTGAAGCAATGGGCGAACATTGAGGCATGCCAGTCTGAAGGAGGATCGAGGGCTCCAAATGGAAGCCGATGAACTGGAATGGGCCGCTTGCTTGGACATGGGCCTGTTGACAGTGCAGGAATGACGCTCTGCGTTCACCTGTGAGTTGAAACTAAAAGGCAAGCGACTATTGAAGCAAGGTGGGGGAGGGCCGAGAATTGGGGGATTGAAAACAGGGGGATAAAAGTAAAGCTGGAACGGGACGATAACGGTGAAAAAGCGCAAGGGGAATAAGAAGATGGGAAAGCTTGAGCAGTAGCATCCAAACCCCTATCCACCCTGCTCGATGCAGCAGATAGGGCACCGTTGATTATCCTCTGCGGTGGCCAGAGCATCAGAAATTTGGTTGGGGAAGGATTCATTGTATTGCGTGGGCAGGATACTGTCAGGTTGCCCAGGCCTAGACAGGAGAACGATTAGGGTTCTCAACCAAAGCCTTTGGTTCAAAAACCTGGCCGCAAGGCAGCGGGTTTGGCACTGGACTACAAGGAGTCCGTTTTAAGGAAAAAGGAGCCACCCCCATTCCAACCCCCAACCTGGAGGACTAGGAGGCTGAGTTTGTCTGGCCTCTAACCATTGACCAATCTGGTATGAGCGGCTCTGAAGGTGCAAAAGCACCACCCAGTATAGCTCAATGGATCACTGAGGCACACAAACCATCGCACCACGGTAAGGTCCAGCCTCATTGCGATGGATACTGGGCCTTAACGTGGTGCGATGGTCTTTGTGTCTCAGGGATCCATTGAGCTATGCTGGATGGGGCTTTTTTTGCACCTTTAGAGCCACTCGTACAAGGTTGGTCAATGGCTAGAGGCCAGACAAACTCAGTCTGCTGGCCCTCCAGGTTGGGGGTTGGAGTGAGTGGCTCCTTATTCCATAAAACGGGTTCTCTTTAG